CATGTCACCAGGAGGCTTCCAGCCCCATAGAGGGTGGTGTGATGTTGCTGACAGCCAGGGCCCGTGTTCTAGAACTTATGTGTTTTGAAAATTAAACTGTGTGACAGTTCCCATTTACTAAAACAAGTTCCCTTTTGGAAGGCTTTTGCATGTATTACCTCCTTTAATTTTCCCACCATCATTCCCCTTCTTCCCCCCACCATCCCCTGAGGCTGGTTTGCATGGGGCCTCAGGGTCACAGTCAGGAGTAAAGCCAACACCAGAGTCTAGGTCTCCTGATTTCTGGCCCAAGACTCTTTGCACTAAACCTTGGGGTCACCAGAAATGCCTGTTCAGGCCTTGGCATGTGTCCTGACCCCCAAGAGACTTTCTGGGGTGTGAGGACAGGCCCAGAGGCAGCTGAAGGTGACAGGCCAGTTTAGTGCCTCGCAAAGACAGCACACAACCATTCCCGAAGGTTTTCAGAGTTGTGGCTCTGGGGTTGGCAGATATAAGACTTTGCTCACGACCACCTTTATCCCTAGCTCTCACTGCTCCACCTTCTCCTCCTCACAGGCCTAAGCTGATGGCAAATTCCAAAGTCAAAGGCCCACCTCCAGGCCCAAGGGTCTTTGCTCACCGCTAGGCCCAAGGTTCTTGCCCCAGCTCAGGCACTTAGAAAGCAGTTCTATTGTTAAAGCCTCATCAAGGCCTCTTAGGTCATTCCTTTCAGTATCTATCATCGCTTTGGAAGTCCCTCTTGTAGTCTGACCTGAGGCAACCTTGGTAATTTTATCAGATAATATCCAGAGAGAGATGACATTAAAAACAAAGGATCCGCAAATAGAAATATTGAGTGCTGAGCCTGATCTAACCAGCTTTCAATGATTAGTGCTCATGAGTACAGGAGAGGCCCATAGATGAACTGGCTTCTCTATGGCCAGTCTTTTCCTGTCTCCTGGACCAGACACAAGGTGTTCTCTGCATCCCATGGTCCTGGACCTCTTACCTTGTTGATGAAAGATGCAAAGCGGTTATTGAGGCACTTGATCTGCTCCTTCTCATCCCTTTTCACATTCTGCACAGTTGGGTCAATTTCCAGCTGAAGTGGGACTAGTAGGCTCTCATTGATGGTGACGGGAGTGATGCAGGCAGGAGCCCCACAGGTGGCCCCCACTCGGTATCCGAAGCCAGGAAGGCCACACCTGGAGGCAACCCGGGGCCTCCCAAAGCCCACGTTGCACAGGCTCCGTGAGCGAAGGCAGCCCAGTACCCGGAGGCCCCCGCCACCCCCAGGCTGGCATGGCCCCGAGCTCACTGCATAGTGGGTGACCCTCTGGGGGAAGACAGCTGAGCATGAGCTGAAGCTCCGACTGCCACATCTGGAGCCCTGCTGGTAGGATAGGCACGACATGGCAGGAGAGAGAGGCAGAGAGGCAGGCCCTGGTGGGGAGAACGGGAAGCAAGAGCTGTCAAGTCAGCTCAGCTCCCACCCTTTTATCTGGCAGGGGCTGGAGGTCTGAGCTGGGTCAGACCCCCAATCACCATTAAATCAGGTTTATGAGCTTGGGAGATTGGCAGCTCTAAGTACCCAGGTGGATAATTAGGGTAGCAAAGAGTTGAAAAAAGGAGCCAGTGGTCAGTGCTGGCGGCCCTATAAAAGTCCCATGTGTCCTCCTTCCTTGTTAACAGGGGTGATGAAAGGGGCATATTCAGAGGGTCAGTCTCAAGGAAAGGGAGAGTTGGGACTTTATGCCAGTCCAAGGAGAGGGGGCATGAATTACATTCCCTGGCTGCCCTGGCTCAGAGGCCAAGTTGGATATGCTTGAGGATGCTCTCTTTCCTCAAGGATGTTTTCATGTTTCTGCAGATGCTCCAGACCCAAGTTCCCTAAGGACTTCTAGGGGATCCTGGGAGTTCCCAGGGCAGAAGAGTTTTAGGTGGGAGAAGCCCTCAGGCCAGCCGGGGTCCTGTCTCTGGCTCCCTTAACCTCCTGTCTCCCCAAGGGCTCCTGAGATAGAAGACTCCAGACACCGAGTCTTGTCTCCAGGGCCTGTTTAGTCCAGAAAGGCCATAGGGGACTCAAGAGGAGCTGCCTTGTGCTTGAGGAGAGGAGAGGAGAGGAAGGAATGCTTTCCCTCAAACATGCATCGATGTCAGCCATTAGGTTGGGGTCCATGTGGCTGTTTCTTTCCCTTCTTACCCACCCCATCCCGAGCCTCCCTGAGGTAGACAGAGCCTGCTCTGGCCCGAGGACATCTCTGGGGACAGTTGCTGCCCACAGGAATTGTTTAGGTGTATTTGGGATAGAGGCCTTCTCCCTAGCATCCAGGGCACAGCTCTTTGAAGATGCTCCAACTACTACCCCCATTCTGTTCCCTCCCTCTTTCCATCAGTCCCATCAGTGAAACTGCAGCTGTGGCCAATGGGTCTTTCCCTTCTACATGTGACTTTTTCTAGGTCAGAATCAACTCAATAATAATAATAGTAAGAACATTTATTGGGTGTTTACTCTGTGCGGGACCACCCTGACTTCTACATTTATTATCTCATTTAATTCATATACTAGTAATGTCACCACAATGGAGTTTCTATTTTGCAAATAAGGAAAGTGAGGAGCAGAGTGGTTAAACTCTGCCAAGGCTGCATCAATCCCATTCTTTCTGATGTCACTGTGCTCTGCTGCTCCTGTGGAGAGAAGCCGGGTTAGGAATCGGCTTCTGTGGATTATATTTTCTCTGCTCCTTGGCTTCCACACCTCTAGATTAGGAGACTGGAACTCAATCAGAAATTCTCAGTCTAACTGTGACATTTCACAGTGTCCCCTTTTGCGGAGTCTTGACTTTGGTCCCAGCATGCTGAGGAGGGAAGATGGGGGCTGGGGCAGGTGAGGTTTGTCATGAGACGATGGGTGATGATGGTGTTGGTCCTGTGCATGGTGCAGCGGAAGGGGATCTCACTGTGCCCTGGAGGAAGTGTCACAGAACTGGTCCCTGGAGGTGGTGTTAGTGGGGATGGTGATGCTGAGAAGCCAGACGAGGGAGTAGACTCCCTCCAGACTCCTGTCAGAGGGAATAAATGAGATAGTGGGCAGACCTGCGAGATTGGGTTCACTGGGGCAGTGCAGACACTGGAGAGCATCCTCCGGACACATCCAGGCCAGAGCATGGTCTCAATGACCATGTTGGACTCCCTGGAACCAGGACCAGAGCTCTGGGGCAGAGAGTAGGGTAGTTCATTGGAGGGCACCTGCTTCCGGAGAACACCAGGTCCAAGGTTGCCCTTTGAATGTGAGATAAGACAGACTCGGTCAACACCCAGAGAGCTCGGTGATATTTTATTGAAGCTATTTCAGGGAACAGGCAGGTACAGGGAGCCAGCAGTAGAGAAAGGTTTGAAAGGATTAGCGTGGGAGTGACTGTTCTCAGAAGCAGTGGACGCTCCTGTCTTCATGCCGGCAGCACGCAGCCCGTCTCTCCTCGCCTTGTGAGTGCATTTTGGTCTTGAACACATGGCAGGTGTTTTGAGGGTTTACAAGTCTTCTAGCTAAATAGGAAACCACCTGCGATGGCTGCCTCAATATTTCTGTGCCTCCCCTGCTCCCCTATTCCACCGACACCCTATTTTTGCTTCCTTTAAGGGGCTGAGCAATGCATCCTCAGGGAACACCTAAGGAAGAGCTGCCTCGCTTCTGAGTCTGCTCTCTCGGGCCTTCCCTGTAGGGCAGGGTGTTTGATGGACTGACTGCTTTCAAGAGTTTCAGTGGCTAAAGCTGGGGATGGGCAACACCACAGCTAGACATTTCAGAGACAGGAATATAGAAGAATGGCCAGGAGAGAGAAAGAGCAGGGACTGTATTGCCAAACAGAAAAGAGGGGAAGTGAATGGAAGGAAAGAGAGAAATAAGGAGAGATGAGGAGGGGGGCGGGGAAGAGAGGAGACACACTGGGTGGCAGAGGATGAGTAGAAAAGGTCTGAGGGGGGAGAGAGAAGGTGGAAAGAGCAGGGTAACAAAGGGAAGAAAACTTTCCAGAAAAGAGGTGATGTGGCAGCACAGAGGAGGAGAAGTCCTGAGCCTGCGGGTCATGGCAGGAGGGCTCTCCTTGGGCAGTTCTAGGACAGGCTGATTGGGTTCTTTCCCCGTGTGTCTGTTGTAGGCACCTGGTGCTGAGCTGCCTCCCACACCTTCACGTGAGCCTGCCTCCTCGCCCTCAGCATCAGGACATTTCTGTTCAGGCCCATAATTCTAATATTGGCTTAAATGAAGCAGATTTGGGAAGAATGTGGCTATAAAATATTATCAAATGCAGCCCTGGCCATGGAGAACTTCTGGGTTCTTGATACAAGTATTGCATTCTTCTATGAATAATCAAGAGTTGGCAATGTTTTAATGGGTGTTGATTTCTCTCTCAAATATCCTGCTGGTGGTGGTTGTCAGGGGAAGTGGCTGGCGTCCTGGGTGAGGACAAGAAGGAAGGAGGTGAGGAGGCCATATGTGGGCAGGGCTGGAATTACTTCCTGGTCTCAGCGGCCTGCAGGAGAAGTGTCTGTCTGTGTGAGAAAGCTCACGTGAGAACTCTGGCCTAGACTGCACTCAACTTTCTTGGAGCACCAAGGTCAATTCTAAGCTTCCCATGAAGGACTGTGGTTACAGTGGACCTGGCTCAGACAGGAGGAGGGGACCCAATTGCACTCCCGCTCTGGAAGGTACTGAAGGGCAAAGTCCCACCCAGCCCAGGTCTTGGCTCAGAGCAGTTGAATCAGCGTTAGCTAGAATGGATGCCCCTACCCCCTGGAGGGCCCTGGGATGGGGAGTGAATGGGGTCCCTCTGTGGGGACCTGTCTGGAAGCAGAGGGATGGACAAGGTGACCCTGGAATGCACAGGCCACTTTCCCACTCCCTGTGTGAACTGCTGCCAGGATTGACTTTGTGCAGGGGGTGTCAGCAAAGCGGCAGGCCTTGGGGCTGGGAACTGGGGGTCTGGTGGGGTGGGGGAGGCAGCAGAGGCAGGTGGGGCTCTTTAGCTCCTATAACTCTTCTTGGTGGATGACGTCTTGGAGATGATGCGCATGCTGGAGGTGCTGCCACCCATGTTGCGGCCACTGGTGGAACTGAAGCCCCCGCTGCCACCGCCATAGCAGAGGCCGCTGCTGTAGCCGCTCCCGCCCACACAGCTCCCGCCCACACAGAGGCCGCTCCTGTGCCTCCAGAGGAGGAGACCACGGCTGTAGAGAGAAGGCATGGGGCACACTGGCAGTCTCCTCCCGTTTCCCAAGACCCACCCTCCCGGGTCTGGTGCCCATGGCACTTCCTCAGGGCACAGGAATCTCCTTAGTCCCCCAGGAGCAGAGTCTGGGGCTGGGCATGAGCTCCCCATCCCCATCGCATGCTGCTCAACATGAGCATCTGCACAGGACATCACACTTTTCAAAGGCCTTCACAGCTGTGACCACACTATCTCACTAGGCCTGAGAGGACACCCCCATTTTACAAAGGAGAAACTAGAGGCACAAAGAGATCGAGTGGCAAGCCCAAGGTCACCCCTGCCAGAAACCAAGGCCTTAGGCTCCTAGGCTGTGTTCACTCCTCATCTACACCAGGGGCTCTCACTGAGTGGAGGCCCCACACTGTGAGGGGGTCATAGACTCCAGAGCTGGAAGAGGCCGGAGGCCATTCAGATGACCCTCCCCAGGAGTTGAGTCCCTTCTACAGCATCCCGAGTCTAGCTCTGCTCAGTTGCTTTCAGCAACAGGGAGCTCACTATCTCTAGATGCAGCTCCCACAGCCTGTCAAACATGTGACCTCCCTCTCAGTGTATGTGTCTTCAGGGGAATTATTCTAGTTCCTTCTATTAAGCTCTCCCCCATCCTGGTTCTCCAGCTTCTCTAATTCGGTCTGACCCACATGGGACCCAAGGGATTCAACTTTCTGAACACAGGACTCCATGAATGCCACCTGCTGGGACATTATGCGAGATGATTCCTCCCCATCTCCCTGCCATTGCCTGAGGCCAAGCCAGGCCAGTCGCTGCTCTGCTTGTTCCATTAATTTGCTTCGACTTTTTACATTTAACCTATCTGAGAACCTCTTGTCAGTTGTGTGAGTTTGAATCCCTGCCAGAACTAGCTGAAAAATCAGGGACCCATTGCTCTGCTAGTGGACCTGTCCTGTAACTGGGGTCCCCTGGGGCCTGGGTGGAGTCATTCCTGTGGACATATGACCCCACTGGAATGGGCCCTAGGGATGAGAAGTCATCACAAGTCTCTCTTGACCCACTGGGAGGAAGGGCCGAAGAAAAAGGGGGTCTCCACAGAGCCCCTAAGAGGGTCTTAATGATGTCCCTAACCCACCCTGTTCATTTTCTAGTCATCAAGTCCTTGTTAGTGATGCTCTTAGCTTCCACTTTGTCTCCCACTTTCCTATCATCCCAAGGCATTTACTCACAGATGTTCACGGGTCCGACACCTTCTCCAGTGAGTCTGTTGCAGGTGGAAGAGAAAGAGAGACATTTGCTGAGACTTTAAAGCGCTCTGGGTTCTTTGTGTTTAGAGTCATCAGCACAGAGCTCTTACTGGGTGCCAGGCACTGTGCTTACAAGCTTTCCATTCATCTCATTAGCCTAAGGAAGTTAATGCGAATCTGTCAGGGGGCATCTGGGAGATAAACCCAGTCAAAATATGTAGAGGAATGGGGAGAGGGACCCGTGCTCACTAGATAGAGAGGGGCAGTTAGATTGTAGGCATCTTTGGGCAACACAGAGCCCCTGAGGCTTGTCCCAGGTGTGGCCTCATTTGTCTTAGGGTCTGGGCAGACATGGCCCTGCTTATGGCCTTCCAGGTAGTCATGGGCTACTTTTCCCTGACATCTTGCCCCTTGGTCTCCTGCCCTGGGTCCAATAGGAGCTGTGGGAAGGGCTGTGACCTCAGGAGGCCTCCAGGGAGCACCTGTGTTTTAACCCTGTTTCTACCCTTGGAATTTCTCCCTGGGGCTTGACACTGTGGGCCTCGTGGCCTCTGTGGCATTGCTCTAGTGCTCTGGTGTAGTCTGTTTGAGTTGTGGTGGGAGGAAAAAGGTAGCCCACCTGCACTCCTCGCCCTCCAGCAGCTTCCTGTAGGTGGCGATCTCGATGTCCAGGGCCAGCTTGACATTCATCAGCTCCTGATACTCACGCAGCTGCCTGGCCATGTCCTGCTTGGCTTTCTGCAGGGCCTCCTCCAGCTCGGCCAGCTTGTGCTTGGCATCCTTGAGGGCCAGCTCCCCACGCTGCTCAGCATCAGCGATGGCGGCCTGGAGCGCGGCACACTACCAAGAGGACACAGGAGTTGGTGAAATCCACAGAGAATGCAGAAAGATGTGGGCTTCAGGTTAAAAAGATGGAGGACATTTTTTTTTAATGGACTTCATGCAAAGGAGGCCGGAGCTTCATCATATTTAAAAATAAGATTAATCTCTGCCCCCCTTGGATGATTTGGGACTTAGCCAAGATAGAGACAATGATTTGGGGGGTCCTTTTCCACACTGAATGTCTCTGGGTAGTGGGTAAGTAAAGCTGGTCAAAGTTTTGTCTTGGATGCCTCCAGAGGACAGAGCCCTTCCTGGAAGAATTGATGTTGGACAGAATTCAGGAAGAAGGTTATAACACCCCTAGAGAGGCAGGAGACCACCTTCCTGGGTGGTCACTCATCTGACGAGGCTTCACTCTGCATGGGCTGAGTTAGGACCAGGCCCAGGTCTGCCCGGGTGCAGGGACTTAGATAGGATGACCTCTGGGAGGTCAGTCCTACCTGCTTCTTCAGGTTATCAATCTCAGAGCGCAGCCTGTGCATCAGCCGGTTCAGCTCAGAGATCTCCATCTTGGTGGTGCGGAGGTCATCCCCGTGCCGGCCAGCAGACCGCTGCAGCTCCTCGTACTGGGGAGAAGGAGAGGCAGAAGGCAGGCAGATTCAGGCCAGAGACAAGGAAGCAGTGGTTTCCCAGGGCCCAGAAGGCTTTCCATATGCCATTTGGAGGCCTCTCCCTCTCCCACCCCATTCTCCATCAAATCCATCCCCATCTTCCCTGGCTCTGCTCTCACTCTGTGTCTACAGCTCCGCACCACAGTTGGACCTTTCTTCTTGGATCCCATCTTTTGTCCCTCTCCCTTGACACCAGGTATCTCATTCTCAACCTGTAACTCTGCTTTTAAAGCTCCTTTGTGTTTGTTTTCCTTGCACCACATCTCATATCCCCAGTGACTCCCCAGCTCAGTGTTTGCTCTAACCTGGAAAATCTCATTGTGTGACCCAAATCCAGTCTTTGTCCCTGCCTCCCCACAAGGCCATCAGCTCCAGACAGTTCCACCTTTCTCCTGTGGATCCAGAAGGCTCAGCCCGCCTTTTGTTCCCACCCTCCCTCTCTCGTTCCTCCTGACACTAGTGGCTGGTTCTGTCCAGCTGTCCCTTGCCTCTCTTCTACAGGGTGTTGAAAGTGTATCCATACTCCTTGAGGCAGAAGGACTAACTACCTCCTGCCTTCACATGGCTATTCCCCCAGTGTAGCCCAAGAATAGTACAGAGGGTAAGCCCCAAGCTGAACTCAGATCTCTTCAACCCCATCAGATTGGGACATATGAGAGGACAAGGCTCTTATCTAAATTGCCTTTGGAATCCCAGTTCTCCACAATTATTTCATGGACTTGATGTTGACACCTCACCTTGGTCTGATACCAGGACTCAGCCTCGGCCCTGCTGCGGTTGGCGATGTCCTCATATTGGGCCTTGACCTCGGCGATGATGCTGTCCAGGTCCAGATTGCGGTTGTTGTCCATGGACAGGATCACGGAGGTCTCAGAGATCTGGTCCTGAAGCTGAGCCAGCTCCTGTGATGGGGTCCAAGTGGGAGAACTGAAGCAGGGTGCAGGTATGTGTGTGCATGTACGTGTGAAAGCATGTGTGTGTGTGTGTGTGTGTGTGTGTGTGTGTATTGTATGCATGTGTGTTGGGGCACTGTGACCAGGCCCCTGGAACAGATCTTGGTATCAAGGGCAACATATACACTGTTAGGGTGTAGTACCCTGCTAAGGTCTAAAAGGGCTGGGAAGGATATTAGGGAGGTCACTGGGTTTACTCCCATACTTTATTATCATCTCATCACAGATAACTTTAGCTGCTCCGTCACTCCGGTTGCCAAGGGAATGCACCTTGTTGTAACCTGCCAGTGCCATGATGTCTCATGTTCTGAGGAAAAGAGCCTTTCACACTAAATAAAGAAATCATCTTGTGAAATAAAACTGAGTCAGAAGGAGCCAGAAAGCTTTGCTCCATCTCAGTTTTGTTTCCCAACTTCGCTCCTCCCAGCTCCTTGGGGACGGGAAATGGAAACAGCAGAAAGGGCACCAGACTGAAAAATTCAAGTCTTGGATCTTCAAAGCAGGTTAGATAGCATCCCTGTCCCAGGGGGGAGCATTAAATAGTTCATGTCGATGTAAGATGGTTTTTGAAACAATAAACATACAATTAATTTGTTAATGATCACTCCTCAGATTCCTCATTGGTTTAGAAAATATGATCCTCAGACCAGCAGCATCACCATCACCTGGGAAGTCTGGGCTCCACCCTAGAGTCACTGAATCAGAATTGATGTTTTATTAAGACTTCTAGAAGGCATTGCAAAATTTGAGAATAACTGGCCCAAAACACAAATCTTAAAAAATATCCCTTCCTTTCTTTATCAACAATTGGTACATGTATTTCCTGCTTCAAGAAATTATTGCTTTGTTGCTGTGTCCTGCAATCTGTCTTTCCCAAATGTTTTTTTTCCTGGTAGCTGATGTAGCTCGAGGGGTCTCTACCCGTGGGCTTGCTGGGCTTGGGCTGGTTCAGAATTAGAAGCCAACAGCACACTGGTCATTAGCATTAAAGTGAATAAGCAGAGAAAATGGTGCCTTTTGCCCCATGTGGTTTGTTGGATGGACATTGAACCCATCCAAAGACACAGAGCTAATGATCCTGTCTCTAGAACAACATGACCAACTTCTGTTGGGCACAAACATATGTAACCCCCTGGGCATATCGCCTGTCCTTACCAGGCCTACCTGGAGGCACACACTATCTGCTACACTCTCTCCCTGACATCACTGATCCCATCTCTACGCTCTCCCTGTCACTCCCTCTACTCCACCCAACTTGGCCTCTTCTTTGTATTTCTGGGTCCTCAGTTCCTCCAGATTTCTCTTCAGATATCACCCACCATCTGCCTTGCCACTGCTCCTTATTGTCATGTTTTTATCGTCCCTGCTGTGCCTGAAATGGTATTGTGTCTGTGCTGCCTGTCTCCCCCACTGCAATGAAGCTCCAAGAACTCAGCGGCTTGACTGTGTTTGCTCAGCGCTTTGCCTGCAGCCCCCAAGAACAATGTCTGACTCTTAACAAAATGTGTCTTTAGGAGAACCAGGCAATGTGTCGTGTGCTTCCAGAAGCATCTAAAGGCTCACTAACTGTCACTTGATTTGCATAATTGCATCATCCTGCAGCCAAGAATAACAGGTAAATTTAAGCTGAAATGGGCGAGCCGGTTGCTCAGATAGTTCTATGGAAACCATGCATAATTCAATGATGGGAAGTTCTTTTGTCTTGGACTTTGAAGCCCTGGATCCTGAATATCTGGGTAACCTGGGGCAACGTGCTTAACCTCCCTGATCCTGAGTTTTCTCACTTCTAAAGTAAAACCTGTTCCCAAGATTGGTTGCGCAAATTAAATAACGCCTTGTATGCAAGGCCACTAGCTTAAGTTGCAGCTGTCACTCCTGGAAGGGGCTGTCTGAGGTTCAGAAGGGAGCATGCTTGGCACAGGTGGTCAAGGTTAAATTTCTCACCTCACCTGACTCACAACTACCAGATGGAAACTCATTTTCTCTCTAGGTAGGGCAAGTAGCATCTGCTCCATTAATTCCAACCCAGGGATGGGGTGGGGAGCAGAGAGGAGATCAGAGCAGCAGCTTGTAGTCTCTGTGCCCCGCTGAGGGCCCCAGACTCCAGCCCCTCTGAGGAGGTGCAGTGGGCCTTGCTTACCGCTTCGTAGAAAGCTTTCAGGAAGTTGATCTCATCCATTAAGGCATCCACCTTGGCCTCCAGCTCTACCTTGTTCATGTAGGCGGCATCCACGTCCTGGGCACAGAACAGGCCATCACTCTGAGTCTTACCCAGTCGGGGTTAACCAGCTCCTCTGTTGGGCGGGAGAACTTCAGCTCCCAGGGATGAAAGCAGTGCTTTATTTCAGGCTATGGAGTAGGACTGGCATGGGAGGGGGGTCCATTCCCTGAGGACCAGGGCTCTCAGGGAATGCCCACCAGGTCGTCAGCTATCTCACCTCCATGTGGTGAGGACAACCCAATTCTGGGCCCATGAGCTCTCCCAGCCTCTCCCTGAGGCTCTTGGTGACTTCCCCTCCTCCTCATACTCTCCGCCCCTTCTTCCCCTCCATACACCACTGCTCCATTCTCCCTCCTTCAGCTCAGCTCCTGGCTGATTCTCCCCTCCCTCTGTCGCCCTCCCCAGCCCCACTAAGCAGGAAGGTCCACAACTCTATGAAACTGATCCCTGCTTGTGCCTGTCCCCTGAGCCTGGAGACTCAGCTCAGCATAAGGCCCATTTGCTTCACCTCTCTGTGCACTGGACACCACATGGGAAGGAGGCTGGTGTCGGGACTTATGACTTGGACTTTGAAGCCCTGGATTCTGAATATCTGGGTAACCTGGGGCAACGTGCTTAACCTCCCTGATCCTGAGTTTTCTCACTTCTAAAGTAAAACCTGTTCCCAAGATTGGTTGCGCAAATTAAATAGCCTTGTATGCAAGGCCACTAGCTTAAGTTGCAGCTGTCACTCCTGGAAGGGGCTGCCTGAGGTTCAGAAGGGAGCATCCCTGTCCCCTCACCTTCTTGAGCACCACAAACTCATTCTCCGCCACTGTGCGCTTGTTGATTTCATCTTCGTACCTGTGGGGAGGGTCAGATGTGGACTGATGTTAGGCGCAGGGGCTCTGGGAATGAGGTTAAACCGGGGGCTGTAGGTGGGCAGGAGACAGTGGGTCTGCAGAGCAGACCTGGAAAATGTGCTGCTATAGCAGAGCTCTCCTGCCACACACGTGCCCCCAAATCCCATATCAACCAACACCCACCTACCCCTTCTACACAACGCCCAAACCCCAAATAACAACAACAACAATAAAACCCAGCCCTCATTCTTCCTGAGCTTTTCACACAGCTTTGCTCCTTAGAGAGTTTAAGTCCCACGAAGGGGCATGCATGTTTCCTTTTATACCCTGTGGTCTTGTCCCAACCCAAACAGAGGCCATGAGGGGAGGAACAGAGCGAACAGTAGGAGGTGTGCAGTCCTAGGCCTCAGCGGCTTCTGCACCCAATGATGCCCTCCTGCCTCTGTTCCGTTCTCAGCCACATTGACCCTGGCCTAGGAAGCTGAATCTTCAGGCTAAAAGGAGCGACCCACCCCCCTCTCCAGTTTCCTCTCTTCCCCTAGGCAGCATCCTCCTTGCTCACTGATCTCTGGGGTGACCCATTTTCTACCCAACCTGTCCAAGTAGTGGGGAGTCCCACCTGCTCAGCGGCTCTGAAGGCTGTGGTTGGGCTTTGTCTCCTTGACCTTCCAGCCCAGTAACCCCAGGCAGGTCACTCAACCTCTATAGATGCCCCTCCCATCTATGAAATGGCATGTCGTTATTTTTTTTAAAACCGCAAAGCACAGTCCCACATGATGTATATAACCAGATCTCCCCTCCCCTGCTTTTGTATTGCCTCTGCCGTTCAGTAGGACCTGAGACAAGCCTTTTCCTGCCAGTTGATTTATTTTTCCTTATTATTTCCCTGCATTGACTTTTCACTAAATATGAACATCTGTTCTTCACCTAATTTCATACTGTCCTTGTCTCCTGTGCTTCCCAGCTCACAGGCCCTCTGCCAGAGGGTGGGCACTAGGTGGTCCTGCACAGGCCTTTTAGTCACTTGCCACATGAATATCACCGGCTATTAACTAGGAGCACATGCCCCAACACTCCCCCAATTCCTCCTCTGTGCCTCTTTCCTTCTCAACATTAAGCTTTCATCTCCTCCTCCAGGAAGCCCTCTTGAGTTGAAAAACTGTTACTCCACATTTGCACACATATTATAAATTACCGATTTGTATTTGCTTTTCTTGTCACTACACACATATACCTAAACATCAGTACAATAAAATAACTGAGACTTATTAACCATTTACTATGTGCCAGGCAGTGGGCACCCTACCAAGTAGTTCACATGCAAGTTTTGATTTAATATGCTCATACTATTAATATGCCCTTTAACAGGCAAAAGGGCTGGGGCTTACAGAAGTTGCTTTTCTTTAGGTCTTTTAGCGAGTAAGTGGTTGAGCCAGGATTCTAATGCCACTGACTAGATTCTATACTGCTGTCCAATAGAACTTTCTGTGATCATGGACATGCTCAGTATCCACACCCATTAGCCACGTGTGAATTGAGCACCAGAAATGTGGCTAGTGAGATTGAGGAGCTGAATTTTAAATTTTATTCCATTTCAATGAATTTAAATTTAAATGGGCACATGTGGGTAGTGGCTACCATGTTAGTGCAACTCTAAAGCCTTAATTCTTACTACAGTAACTAAAAAACCTCCATATCAAATGACTTATTTTGTTTGGACCAAGACAATTAGAAATAAATTAGAACAATAAAAATAAAAAATTACTATGTCTATAGGCACAAGATACTATATGTTTAATGGTGTGTGTGTGTGTGTGTGTGTGTGTGTGTGTGTGTGGTTCCAGGGAGAAGGCAGCATGTATGGGTCTTTCTCCTCTGTTCCCTGCCCCTTGGCCAGCATTGGGGTAAATGCATGGACATTATGTAAATTAGCAATGGGACTGAGTGAAGCAAATGTAAGGGTGAGATTATATAGGCTTAATTCTTAACTCACAAGTTGCCACTTATATAAACTTGAATGAGTCAGTCACTCTCTCAGAGCCTTATTTTCCTCAACTGCAGAATCTTTCAGGTTGTGTATATCATGCGCTCCGTGCCCATGTTAGTTATCATCCTGTATAACCCCAGCCCTTCCCCAAAGCCCTAGGGTCCCAGTTCATTTTCCGAGTAACCTCGGTGCCCAAAGTGTGTTCCTTTCCCCACTGCACTGGGCACTTCTGGAGGAGCTGAGTGTCTACTCACTTGTTCTTGAAGTCCTCCACCACATCCTGCATGTTCTTCAGCTCCGTCTCCAGCCTTGCCCGCTCCCCGCCCAGGCTGTCCAGCTGCCGCCTCAGGTTGTTGATGTAGGCTTCAAACATGGGCTCAATGTTGGCCCTGGTGGTTTTATGCTCCTGCAGGAGGCTCCATTTGGTCTCTAGGACCTTGTTCTGCTGCTCCAGGAACCGCACCTGCCCCAGTCAGAGGTGAAAGACTGTGAGGGCTTCCTTACAGCAACCTCCCAGAGAACGCTGCGATCCAGGACCCTCCAACAGTGCAAGGGGAGGGGCTGTAAGACCTCAGAGTCCAGGTAGCAGGCTCCTTCTCATCATTCTCAGCCAGGAAGGTAGAGAGTCAAGCAAAGATCGGTGCGATGGGAGAGAGGCGGTGGTTTGATTTGGAGGTGGGAGAAGCAAGGAGGGCCAGAGAGACTGGAAACTGTCTGACCACACCAAACCATGCTGATGTGTCTTAGGTGAAGAAAAGAACACCCCTCCTCCCCCAATCACATTACTGGGTGAAATTTCGATTTCCATTAAATGGACAGGAAGTTCTTAGCAGAACATTCAACCTGTCTATTTTCTTTCCAACATGATTTCTCAAGATCTAGACTCTGGACTCAGTTGCCCACAACCTCCAGGAATGCTGGAATGGGTCACTCTGGAGTCGTATTGAAGGAATTTGGACACAATCCTAGCCGTGTCTCTCTAGCTGTGTGGCCTTGGTAAGCCCTTCCTCCCTCTGCTCTCTCAGGTCCTCTGTGCTCTTGTGCTACAAATTTGGTTTCCTTGAATTGCACTCATCTGCCCCTCAGCCTGGAAAAACATGCAAAGCCTTTCTGCCTAAGCAAAGTCCTTTCATTGGGAGCAGCTGGAATGACATTCTCCTCAGAGAATGAAGGAACAGAGCCTCCAAGACTTTGGAGATGGCAATTTGCCTGCTGAGGGTCTTTGACAAATGCACCCACCCCACCAGCTTTCTCTTCCATTGCAGAGGAATGAGGGAAGTCCTGGCTCTAAGTCCCTCCCTAGTTACCACCCTTTGGTTCCTATGTGCCTTCCTGATGAACCTAAAATAGCATTTTTTTCCTCAGAGCCAGGCTCCTGGAAATCTCACAGCTGTTGATGCAAACACCAGGCCAAGTAGGGTGACTTGGGTGATAAAATTGAAGAACCACTGCCTCAGTGGTTAGGTTTTACACATTTAAAGATCTGGGTCCATATGATGAGGCATTTATAGACTGTTAGACCTGCAAAGGCACCTCAGAGTCCATCTACCCAACCCAACTGAGGCCCAAGAACTTAGGGATTCTCCTAGCAGTAGAGCCAAAAATGAGACCTGGGCTGGTTGCCTCTTTAGCATTTTCTTCTAGATCCCAGGTGTGGAGTCTGCATGATCCAGATTCTTGCATTGGTTCTTCCCAAGCAAAAACAACCAGCTCAGGTGTGAAGCAGGGGTGATGAGGCAAAATAGAATCCAAAATAGAATTATATCTTTCCCCAAACTGGAGAAATCCCTAGGATTCCAGGCCACATAGCAAGGGGGGACCCAGGGCTGAAGTCACAGCTTTCCTCTCTCTAAAAGAAAAGAGTGAAACACTTTGAGCAGCCCCTGGCCAACCACCCAGCTTCTCAGACATGCCCAAATCACCAGGGGGGTTGCCACAAGAGGGCTTGCCCCTATTACACTCGGCAGGAAAAAGTGACCTCAGCCCACTTCTGTGGACCGACCTTGTAATCTTTCCTTCCTTTATCTCCTTCCCTCCAACGGATGCCCTTTCACTGTCTAATTGTAAGCCCAGTACACGATCACAATCAATCAAAAGAGCAATGTCCTTGCAGTGGGTCAGAAAGCTCCGGAGCCTGGAGGTAGACATTTTTCTGCTCCCACCTCAACAAAGTGGGAAAGCACCCCTCCTCCACCCTGTCAGCAGCCTTCCCACCCCAGGATCACAGGTCTTGGGCAAGACACAGTTGACCTCAGAAAAGCACAGAGAGCAGAGATCCCCCAGCGTTTCTGGTGGGGATCCCACTTGCCTCTCACCTTGTCGATGAAAGAGGCGAACTTGTTGTTGAGGGTCTTGATCTGCTCCCGCTCCTCCTTCCGCACCCGCTGAAGGGAGGGGTCTATCTCCAGGTGCAGCGGCGTCAGGAGGCTCTGGTTGACAGTGACCTCCTGGATGCCCCCAGATCCAGGCATCATCCCACCTCCATACCCGCTGCAGGCTCCTACTCTGTACCCTATGCCGCCAAGACCCATCCCATAGCCAGCGCCACCGAAGCTGCCCCGGCTGGAGCGGTAGCCCCCACTGACGGAGATTCTCTTGCTGCCCCCAAGGCCATGGAGACTCCTGCTTCCAAAGCCACCCCCAAAGCCACCTCCAAATCTCTTCCCGCCCTGGGTCATGGAGACAGAGCTGAAGCTGGTCCGGCACCCCGGGAGGAAGTTCGCTGAGGAAGTACTGAAGTTCCGAGTGCCCCCTGACTTGATGGTGATAGAGGATCGTTGGGCCATGGTGGGAGTTGGTGGCAGAAGGTCAGAGGAGCAAAAATGTCACAGGGATGAGGAGGCTTCAGAGTCTAACTGTCCCAAAGTCTCCTTGGCTTTTATCCCCTAAAGAACTGGGCTTGGCCGGAGAAGATCACAGACCACTGTGTTGAGTTCATCTCAATGGCATGTCTGGCCACGGCCCATCTTCCTGCCCCGCTAATCATCATGGGAACTCCCTACCTAGGGCAGGACTGGGCCTGGGCATTCGAGCCCTGGGCAGGCCTGGGTCCTGAGGCCCCCACTTGCCCAGGTTCTCTGCCACATGCTGTTGACACTCCCACTGCGTCTCATCGGCTCCTCTCTTCTTGATTTCCAGGTCTTGGACTTTGGACCCAAGCCCTTCCTATCACTTATAAAGAAACCCCATTTATTGAGGACTCAATCTGTGCAAGACCATGTGGCAGGTCAGTTGCAATCATTATGTCATTTGATTCTCATAATAACTTTGTGAGGGTAGAGGGCAATAAAAATTGCTAACATTTCCTGAGTGGCTGCCATGGGTAGCTGTTTTACACCTGCCTTCTCATTTAATCTTTACACAGCACCACATGGTGGCTATTACTGTTCTTGTTTTGCACATGAAGCAATTGAGGCATGGAGTAGTTAAGAGACTTGGCAGACCTCAGATAGCCAGTGACTGCTGCGCCAATGTGGGGGCCCAGTGGCCTGACTGCACCTCATAGCGACGGAGAGAGGTGGCTTGTTACAGAGAAGCAAACTCCTGCCCCCTCTACTCCTCTTGTTCCAGCTCTTAACTTGATCCTCCCCCTCCACCAGGGATGTTTAACAATTGTTCTCAGTGCCATTTCTCTCCTTCTTGCCATCCTTTCCTTTTCAATCCTTCCCAATTTTCCCTGATGAGAGGGGGCCAGGAGACTGTAAACTCAGGAATGTGGGTGCTTCGGGATGTCTCATTGCTGCAATTATGGGCCTAAATGTCTCCTGTGCTAAGTGAAGGTGCTGCCCCGGGGCTGGCTTTTAACTCCGCTCCTGCCCTGTGATTTCTCTGCTCAGGTCTGCAAGTTTGAAGCTGTCAGGGAACAATGGTCCCTTTGCTGGCACAGGGCTGGGCCCCCCACCCTACGTCAGTGTTTTGGAGAAACAGTCTGGCTTTGGGAGGGATGGCATCTCCCTGCATGACATATGTAGTGGGGAAGCTGGGCAGAGCTTCTGCCCAGGGGCTGGGGCTTCTCAAAGAAGACATCCCAACGAGGGGTAGGAGGAAATGGGCAGAAGCTTGGGTGTGGGGAGTCTGCCCTCCTGTCCTTCCCATCTCCCCCCAGTCCAGCCTTCTGAGCTCTGGGGAGAAGTGGGGAAGGAAAGTCTGATGTGCTCTGGGTACTCCTTGTGTGAGGCCTTGTGCTGGGAGGAGGAGGAGGAGGAGGAGGAGGAGGAGGAGGAGGAGGAGGAGGGGAAGGAGGAGGAGGAGAAGAATTGTTCTGTGCTCCGTCACCATTCCAAACAGAGGGCTGGACACCAAACACATTACACATACATTTAATTGACACATTCCAGAGAGGGGAGAGAGGGAGCCCTCACTCCCAGCGGGCAGCTTATAAGCACCGTGAGACAGGGGGCCTGACAACCTGGCATTAAGATGGTCTGGGAGACACAGACTCCGCATTTCTGCATCTGGAGCGAGGGAGGCGGAGCTGAAGGGGAGTCTCTGCAAGACAAGCCGAATGTGAATCTTGAAAGTCTGTGCTCTGGCACAGAGAGGGCTCCAGGGGCAGTCTGGGGGACTGTCAGAAGGGCAGAGGCTGGCTCAGGTTGGAGACTGGGGTTTACCAGGATGCCAGGCTTCCTAGCAGCACAGGTGGGCCTTGTGATGGGGAGAAGAAGGAGAAGGACCCAGGTGTCCAAGGACACAGGCCAGTGGGTAAACCTGGTTTCAGGACCGGGGAGAGGGAGTGAGTGGCTGCACTTAGTGTTTATAGCTCTTTCGGCTGGAGGACGTGGTGGAGACAAACTTGACACTGGAGCCATTGCCCCCAAGGCCCCGGCTGCTACTGGCACTGAAGCCGGAGCCTCCCAGCCCCATGCCCAAGCTGTGCCCACCGCTGGTGTTGAAGGAATAGCCGCTGCCCCCACCGAGACCCAGGCCTCCACCTCCAATGCCACTGCCACTGCCGTAGCCACTGGAAACAGTGGAGGTGACCACAGCTGTGGGAAGAGAGGAGATGTGGTCAGATTCAAAGGCAGGAGAGAAGACACTGGGGGTGTCAGGGCCTGTGCCCTGAAGTTCCTGGGGAGAGGGGGGCAGGGTGTAGTGGGATCACTGTGCTGAGCCTCAGCTGGGTCCTCTCTGTGCAGCAGCTCTGCATCCTCCCAGTCTAGAATGGCTTTCTGCCTCCCCGCAACTACTCCATGCCTCTCTCTTCCTTCCAGAACTTAATGGAGACTTCTCTCCTCTGGGAAGCTGTTCCAGTCCAGTTGCCTTCCCTTTTGATCCCGCCCACTCCCCCCTGCTGCGCTGTCCCATCTCCCCCTGCGGACCCGGCTCTGGTGTCTCCCTTCCTTCTGGAAGCTCATAGGGAGGCACGCACGTGCTTTCCTTGGTGTCCCCCAGCCTCTGTGCTCAGAATCCCAGAAGCGGGGCTGGAATATTCTTGATAGACCAAGTGACAGCCAACCCATTTGCCAGCCAACTATTCTCATCCCAACCTGTTCTTTTCCTAACTTTTATAACCACCACCACCACCACCACCTTAAACATCTAGTCTCCTACTTTGGGTTCTTGAGAAGAAAAGTTGAAATAAAAAATAGATTCTGTTATGGGATGAATTCTGTCCTTCAAAAAATATGTTGAAGTCATCACCCCCAGTACCTGAGAATGGGACCTTATTTGGAATATTTGCAGATATAACCAAGTTAAGAGGAAAATCATTAGGGTGGGCTCTAACCCAGTATGACCAGTGTCCTTATAAGAAGAGGGAAGGTGTCCTAATGTGAAAACAGACACACAAGAACACGGCCATTTGACCACAAAGACAGAGATTGGAGTGGTGAGCCAAGGATTGACAGCAACCACCAGAAGCTAGAAGAGGCAAGGGGGCATTCTGCCCTATAGGTTTCAGAGGGGGCACAGTCCCGCTGGCACCTCAGTTTGGGATTTCTAGCCTGCAGACGGTGAGACAATAAACATCTGTTGTTTTAAGCTACCCAGTTTGTGTACTTTGTTGTGGCAGCCCTCGGAAACCAACACAGACTTTCAGGTGCTTTCAAGAGAATGGAAACTTTAGAGGTGGTGCCGTCCATTCCCCAAATTAACTTTGAGTATCTCTGGAGAACCAGTGGTTCTCAATCTTCCTAATGCCGAGACCCTTTAATACAGTTCCTCATGTTGTGGTGACCCCAACCATAAAATTATTTTCGTTGCTACTTCATAACTGTAATTTTGCTACTGTTATGAATCATAATGTAAATATCTGATATGAAGGATGTATTTTCATTGTTTGTGACCCACAAGTTGAGAACCGTGGACAAAGACATCAAGGATGGACACCTGGGTGGTTGAGAGCTCAGCCTTCTAGAACCATTGGCTAATATAATCAATTGCTTTTGTGAATCTCACATAGAGAAACAAAACTCACTTTTAGAGTGTATGTTGTAGAAGTCATTTCTGTTGGCCTCAAGGTGCCAGCACTGAGCTCTGAGTGACGCCTTCTGCTGGGGGTTGGGCCAGCTTGCGAAAGCTTCTCATTCCTCAGCTGCTGCACCCCCTGCTATGTGTATGGTGCTCTCACTGCCCTGAAAACTCTTGGTTACTCTCTGTAGTTATGATCTACAGAGTTGAGACAAGCAGTAGGGCTTCTTCCCAAGTTGTTCCGGGAAAAGGCTGTCTAAATAACAATGCCCTTGTGCTCAGCATGAAGGCTCCCTCCAAAGGCTGAGGGCAGACCAAGAGTTTTCATAAAGTCTGTCTGCATCGGACACTCATCTCTGAGCCAGACTTGCAGCCCCACGGAGAACAGTGTGAAGTCCTGGGAGAGGGGAGGTGTGGCCTATGGTCTTCTATGCAGAAGGAGTTCAGCAAACCTCCCAGTGCCCCTTTGTGGCACTCACACACTTACAGAGAGGTCAGTATTGTGACATGGAAGACTCTCTCCTAAGATGGTTCTCTTTTTAACAAATTCAGAACGTCAGACCACCTCAAAATGAACCCTTTTGGTGGGATCCTCTCCAATGCCTCATGCGCGCCCACCACCCCTCCATCCCCCAATCACAAATACTCCAAATGATGCAAAGAATGTCATACTCACAGATGTTAACTGGAGAAACACCCTCTCCACTCAGCCTGATTGGAAGGAGGGGGGAGAAAGAGGTTACTGTTGTGTCCAGAAGTTTGTGGGCATTTAAAATGACATTTTTGTAATTGTTTTAAATGCAGTACAAACCCTTTATTTTTATTGCAGAAATAGTGGAGGTTGAAATTATTTAAATACTAGTAATATTAAAAAGTAATAATTTAATGAATGAAATAATGTGGAGTTTGAGGTTCATAGGAGTAAAACCTGTAATCCCAGAAGCCCATTTTTGGTTTAGACTAGGTAGACACCTTATGAAAATTAAAGCCATCATACACTGGTGTCATTGAAAAGGCAGGACTTGTCATAGAACAAGAAGAATTCTCTCTGAACAATGGACCATTGTCGTGCACTGGGCAGTGCTAAGGTATTATAGGTGTGGAGAGGAGGCTGAGTCATAAACATAACACTTGCAATAATCAGTCTATTATCGTGGTAGCAAATAGAGTAATTTTGTTTTAGCATCTTGAGGACAGAACTGGCATTCATTTGTAAATACACACTTAGAACATTAAAAGAGCTAACAATTACTGGGTACCTGTTACCTACATTCTGCCACTTAATTCTCTCAACAACTCCATTAAGTAGGTGTTATTATCTCAGTTTTACAGATGGAGAAATTCAAGCTCAGAGAGGTTAATTAATTTGTCCAGCATT